GCAGGCGGGCAGCAGGGAGGAGGGCGCAGGCGACAGCTGCCTGCTCCGCGTGACGTGCGCAGAGCCCACCAGTGGTAGGCGCGGGAGGGTCGGTATCGCGCGTGGGTTGGACATCAGCCTTTTCTGAAAATCATTTACAGATTTATTTATTTTCCGCGGTAAGGAATAACGCGGCTTTGCTGCAACGCCTAAGCTGGCCTTAGGCCGTGAGGTGCAGACTGGCAGCAGCGCACAGGAATCAAAAATAGCACGTACCTGCCTGCAAAATGCGGCAGGATCGAGTTACAGGCGCGGGCAGTTATCCAAAGAATGCTCTTGCAGAAGTGCTGCGGCACAGCTGGGATGATAATGAAAAATAGCAGCCCAAAATAATGAAGTGAGTTTTAAAAAAAAATAAATAAAATGACCTTGTTTCTGTGAAAGGAGAACGTAAAAGGGAGAAACCGGAGCTACTGCAAAATGCTGAGTGGGGGAAAAATGTCAAAACATACTGGTACTGAATCAAAAACTTTGCTCTCTGTGGTGGAAGTAAGGGGAATACTACAGGGAATCCTTGTGTCACCTCAGCAGATTTTTGGCATCAGGCCCATTGCAGTACAGAACTGGAAATCAGCTAGATTTTTGAACAGGCTTCACATTTGTAAAGGCACATGGTACTTTCTTATTAAGCCTATCATGCTTTTGCAGCCTAATCCTATAACTTTGTTGGAGTTACAATTATTTGTTTCTATCCTGCCTTACTAAGCAGAAGTAATAAAATGGAGACTGTGCTTGCTGTATTGTTGGTTTCAGCCCCATTCAAATGTATAGCAACAGTAAACGGACTGATTTCCTGTAAGTTGCCATCTGCGTTCTTCTGACATTCAGGAGAAAGTGCTGATAGTCCGTTTTCCCCCAGAAATAACCAGTGGTTGTAGCATAGCCTTTTCCTTCTCACTAGACATTCTCAAAAGTTGGAAAACTGGTAAGAAATCTACTTGGCAGAACTTTCTTCCCCCCTCTCTTTTCCACAGTTACTAAAGGCGTGCTTCTGTTTTTTTAGGTTTAAATACAAAGTGAATAAGAATGTCAATAGTCACAGTCCAGCTTGGTCAGTGTGGTAATCAGATTGGTCATGAGGTGTTTAATGCTATCTGCGGTGATGTCCATGGCACGCATGGGTTGTGTTCCAAGAAGGAGAATGAATCCTACCATGATGCTTGCAAAGAACGTTTTTTCAGAGAGGAGGAATCTGAAGGTACAGTATATAAGTGTGTCTTTCCCACAGAGGGTCTGGTCGCCAGCCTAATAGTTAAGAGTACAGAAATAATAAAAGTCTTTTACCTTCAGTCTTGAAGAATTGTCACAACCCTCTGCCTTCACGATACCGATAACAACCATGGAAGCACAATCCCAGCGCAGTGAAGTGTCTGAGGCCGCAGAGCAAGCCTGCCAGTAACACAGCTGGAAACTGAGCATATGTACACAAATAATCTTTTTTCCAAACATCTGCATTTTCTACTGTAGATAGATCATACCATGGAGTAGGACCCAGACTATCTGAATTTGGTGTTACCAAATGCATTAGGTGGTTTCTTTCCTGAAAGATCCATGGTCTCTAGAATTCATATTTGTCTTTGGAATAAAAGAAGGTTCTCTAGAAATCCATGGCATTGCCAAGTCCTCCTCTCTGTACCTGTCTGTACCGTCCCATTAAATTAATAGTTCAGCTTTTGTGGGTGGGAGGAATATAATTTGGGCTGTGGTGCAAGTCTGTCCGTCTTATATAACAAAAAAGTTCTAATATTGTCATGTTATTCTTAGGGTTTTGGTTTTTTTTCTTCCTATCCAGTACCTGTTGCCCGAGCTGTGCTTGTTGACATGGAACCTAAAGTAATCAGCCAAACCTTATCAACAGCTGCCAGGTCTGGCTACTGGAAATATGATGGTCGGTCACACTTCTGTCAGAAGCAAGGGTCTGGGAACAACTGGGCAAATGGGTATGAACAATTGGTTCAAGCTTCACCAAGGGAACTGTAGAGGCTAATGAGCTGTCTAGACTCTAGGAGTGCTACTATTGCAGCTGTGTGAGGTACAGAGTATGTAACATTAACTTGATTTATTTTTAAGTTAAAGTAGCCTTATATGTAGCAGTGGAATTTCTAAAGTGCTTTTTGCAAGGTGAAGTTGGTATTACAGTGAAAATGTAACATTTTAGAATAGAGTGAATATATTTAAGAACAGGAAACAGTAAGCACAGTTTATAAACAGCTGTTTGGCAAAATAAATGTCACAGCTGAGGATTGTTTATTGCAGATAGAATGGGTGACATAATGCCAGGTTATATAAATAATAATAAGGAAAGTATCCTTTATGAATAGCTTCACCTGACTGCTTTTATTTTTATACAACCTGCCATGTCTCACTGTTTTGTCTTTTATTCAACAGTTATTCTGTTCACGGGCCTAAACACAAAGAAGTAATAATGGATCTGGTACAAAAAGAAGCAGAGAAATGTGATCGACTCGGTGGATTTTTCACAATAATGAGCATGGCTGGTGGTACAGGATCTGGCTTGGGAGCGTTTGTGACCCAGTGCTTAAGAGATGCTTTTCCAAGCTCATTTATACTAAACCATGTTATCTGGCCCTACGGCACTGGTGAGGTGAATGTCCTATTTCCCAGAGACATTCTGCAAGTTTGTAATCACTGTTTACTTTTAAACATAAAATATTTGCAACTGAAATAAACTAGAAGAGAAATACATTTTTAAAAAGTTTAACGGGACAGAAAGTAACAGAGCTAATGAACTGTTTGCCTAATATTTGGTACATGTCCTTTCACCCCCCAAAAAAAATTCTTGCAAATGTAAGCACTAAAGTATAATGCAGTTTCTTGAGAAGCTCTATTAGCTAACTAGAAATCTCTTGTTAGGATAGTATCTCAGCATTATAATTCGTTCCCAGACAGATCTTATTGTAGCATGTTTGTATGAACTGAGAAGGATAACATGGTTTTCACAGGTCTTGCTCTCTTCCTGTGAAAAAGCTCTGCTAGCTCCTGACCTCATTCTGCACTTTGGCAAAGAAAATGAATCACTTCCTAAATCATAACTGAGGAAATGACAGTAGCCAGAGGATTATAAACTAGAGATTAAGTTGTTTGATCTCATTTGTGTCTATTGTTTGTTTGTTTGTTTCCAGGTCATTGTTCAAAACTACAACTCTGTTTTGACTCTGTCACATCTGTATCAGTCATCAGATGCTCTTCTTGTTCATGAAAATGATGTCATCCACAAGATCTGTGCTCAGCTGATGAATATTAAACAGATCTCCTTCAGGGATGTAAATCAAGTCATTGCACATCAGCTGGGGAGTGTTTTCCAGCCCACTTACACAGCAGAAGGTGGCTTACACTACAGCAGAAACCCATTAGGTATCTATCTACAATATAGCTGCCTAATGCATTCTCACACATATTGCTGCAATCATTCCTGTTGTGAATTTAGGCTCTTCAGTCTCCTTACTCAAGTATTCGGATATATCCCAAGTTTTAAGATAGAAAAAGTGAAGCAAAAGACTAAATTAGCAGTTCAATCCCAATTTTGTAGCAGAGTCAAAAACAGATCCCCCAGCTTCTGGTTTCATTCTTTACCAAAAGAACCCTGTTTCTCCTTTTTCAAGTGCCTACAGACACCCTTATATCTATTTACATTTCAGAGGAAATTTGTGGAGAGTAATTTTGGATGGAGTTTTACATCGCACCTTAGGTTAGAAGTTTGTATAAACTGAAACAAAATGAAAGTTTTGTGTTTTTTTCAGGCAGAATACAGGCTAGCATACAACTTGGTAGCAACTAGCAACAGGCTGATGTTTGTATCTTTAAGAGATTAGAGAAAGTTACCCATATTGCCAAGAATTTTGCTTATAAAATTAAACTTTCACATCTGTCTGTCAACCTCTTTAGCAGTGCATAGGGTCTTTGAGATTTGGAGCCAGACTATAAAGAGAGACAAGTCTAAACTGTAAAATAAGAGCTACTAACACACTTGTATAGAACTCTGTAGTACGTAGCAAATTTGCATTACTTTGATGTATGTCCATATATTTGTCAAATGAAAACTTTATATATCCTGCTTTGCTTCTTACCTTAAATCACCAAATCTTTGTAAAATTCCTCACTCTCTTTTCCTATTTTAGCTAGCCTATGTGATATTTTTATCGAACGAGCAGGTGTTAATTTCTTCTTTCAGGAGACTTAATGGAGACGTTAGTTCCACATCCCGAATTCAAGATGTTGGGTCTTCGTAACATACCTCAGATGCCTGAAAGCTTCCTCGCTTATAGCGCATTCAGTTGGCCTGGACTCATCAAACATTTAAGGCAGATGCTCATTGCTAATGCTAAAATGGAGGAAGGTAAAAAGCATTCACTCATCTTCAGTATCCATCACCCTTTAAGCATTTATTTTTACAGATTAAATAAAGCTTATTGTTTTGTGGAGCTCGCTGACTGGCTTTAGTCAGTTCAGAAACGAGTTGCTGCCCTCAGTAATTTGCCTCTACATAGCCAGCTGCTCCTTTAACTATTCACTCAGCTGCCACAGCAGCTCCTGGCTTGCTCCTGTTTTTGCTCCCAGACATCTCAGTTAATTATAACTATTGAAAATATGCAAAACAAACCAACAGTTTTTGGCTGTGCACTTAATTTACATGATTCATTTGGAACATTCCTTGGATAGTTCTGCTATGTTTTTTCTTTTTACACCTTCTACTAATAAAAATAATTCTTAGCTTTCCCATATCATTTACATCGGGAATTCGGTATAGCTTCCAGTTATGCAGAGAATGGGCTGGCAAATTGCTAAGTATAGAAAGAAGTATCCATTTTCTCTGGTAAGACTAGTGACTACCAGGCAAATACTGCTGGATTAGCACCTTTTTCCTCCAAGAATCTTGTAATTGCTGCTTAACTAACGTGCAGACGCTACAAACTCTGTGCCAGCTTGGGGCACAGTGTTAGTTACCCTCTGACTCTTCAGCTAGTCTGAATCCATATTTCATGAAACATTAACTGTCTTTTATCTTTTTTGCCAAAAATCTCATAAGGTATTGATTGGCAAGTACGACCACCATGTCTGGGCTCCTCCATCCCCTCCAGTCATTCCACAAACAAGCCACTGCATTTCAATACTTCCATTGCCAACCTGGTTATCCTACGAGGAAAAGATACGCACAGCGTAGACTTAGGTAAGAAGGAAAAACACAATACCTTGGTGATTCTTGTTTCACATCTCACTGTTTTCTTTGCAACCATATCTGATGAAAGTGAAAAAACCCCAAGGCCACATATTTGACTAGTAAGGTCAATATTCCCTCTAGAAACATTTTAATGTCCAAGGCCACGTTGTCTAATTGCTTAGGGCTGTTGTGTTTACAACTGAGACTTCGGTGTTTCCAGAAGCACTTCAGAGGAAGAGGAAGACTGAAGTCCATATATATGATAGGATTCTTGACTATATTGTCTGAAAATATATTGAGCTGCTTCTGGAGTAATAAGCATAGCTTGCAGATGAAGTACCAATATGAGTATGCTTCTAGATAATCTGAGGAATCTCTTTAAAACAGTTATATTTGCAACAGGCTGACCACTGCAGATTTTTTCCAAGGCCTGAATTGATCTGCTGAGCATTGATTAGGTCACACAGGACTACTGAGATTGAGATATAGGAGCTTGTAGCTTTACATTTGTCAAAAGGGCTGTCTTATTTCTGCTGCAGGAAGTTTCCGAGATCCCTCATTATATACATCATGGCTAAACCCTCAGGACGCTTTTAATGCATGGAAAACACCAAGAGCATTTAACAAGTATGAAAAGTCTGCTGCTTTGGTCAGCAATAGCTTGCTGAAACCTCTTGACAGTGTTGTAGGAAAAGCTTGGAATATGTTTGCTTCCAAGTAAGTGAAAATAATTATGCTGATACTTCATTTATAACTGCCAATATCTTCAGTAGCAAAATCGTTGTAAATACAGCTTGGTCTTTCAGCAAAGTAATAATAAGTGAATAAGCATGAAGACTGTTCCCACACTTTAATGGAAACATTTTTATGCTTGAAACATGATGGCAGGGTAAGGAACACAGAGCAGCGCTTATGTTCTGTGGCTAAGTGAGACCACATATTCTAGTGCTGTCAATTTGACTATTTTCTAGGTACTAAACCTCCCCAAATTTAGTGCATTCCAGTGTGACCATTCTAAAAAATAACACATAGAAACTCTTTTACTGATCATATAGTTTCTAAAGTGTGTACAGACATGCTGCACGGTCCGGGAAACAAGTTTCTGGCTCAGTGCAGAAGCATTTAGGGGATTTGTGTGTTTACTAAGGCTCCCATGCTGTTAGTTTGATTTTTCATTAGAACCAAGAAATCTAGAAAATAATTGCCTCTTTGTTTTGGTCATCATGAAGCCAAGGTTACTGCATGTCACAGCAGATGTCTGTTAAACATGAGTTTCTGGCACAGAAATTCTGCAATTAAAAGCCAAAGCAGGAAAAGTGCTTCCACTAGCTGTGCTCCTAGTTTTACCACCTGTTACAAAAACACCAGCAATGAGAAGCAAGCTATCCTGCACACACAGGTTTAGGCTTTGCATCTCAAATCTATAAATCTATTCAACTGAGGATATTCTATGAAATTACTTTTCTCATTTAATAATTGCTTTTCCTTCCATTTCCCAGTTAGCTCAGTTTTCTTAGCTGCAATTTTGTATCCTTAAGCAATACACTACATTATAAAACCTACTAGAAACAAGTCATGACTTATCAATGAGTATGAATCACAAAATGAGTTCAAAAGAGTACAGTAGAAACTAACCAGCATGGTTATTGGGTGGAAACCGATCTTCATTTAAGTTTTTACAATAACTGTACAATCTGATTTCATGTGTCAGATTCTTCACTGATTTCTAATGTCTTACCTATTTTCCTACTGTGACTTCCACACATAGAGCCTATATTCACCAGTACACTAAATTCGGAATTGAAGAGGAAGATTTCCTGGACAGCTTCACAGCTCTGGAACAAGTTATCTCCAGTTACAGCAACCTTTGATTTTTTTTAAAATTTTTTTTTTAATGGTCTGAAATAGAACTTTCCTGAAAGAACCTAGCGCTGGAAAGCCTTCCATCAACGTCCTGAAGTATATCAATTACTGGACTGTAGCTATTTTTCAGTCTTGTAAGCAGTGTGTGCATGTGTTAGAATAGTAAGAACTGAATATATTCATACGGGCAGGTATTATTCATATTTAAGATATCTAATAAAGAGCTATTTTTCAATACATTTGCTATGTGCTGTAGCTAAGTCTTTGAACATAATTTTTGGCATTTGGATATTTTTCATAAAGAATATCTATACAGAAGGATTTTTCTCCAGGCTAAACTGTAAGCATCTAAACTATCATGAAGTAATGTGTGATAAAAATTAAATGTGTGCTTGACTACAGTAGTAAGGCATTCC